TGTCGTAGAGAAAGACAAACGCTGCATCGCCGCTTTATGGAGTCCAACACAATCAGATAGACTTGTGCCTTTATTCCAAACAGAGCTACAGTTCTGCTCCTTCAGCTTCCTTCTAGCAACCAGCGTGACACTGAACTTCTCCTAAATCTCTGGGTTAAGTCCGTATTTCATTACGCTCCTCAGAAACCCTCGACATGAACAGTAACCCAGTGACTTAATGCCCTCACTGTAGGCAGCAGTGAGTGCCTCCATTGTTGCTCCGGATTACAGCTTTCTGTCAAGTTTTGGGAAGGTGGCCAAAGGGATTAATGCAGATTCACTCCTGTGATGCTCTGAGCCATCCTCCCGTTAAACCGCAGCCTGCTCGGATGACCCAAAGCCACCGACACCAGCTTCACCTGGAACAACCTCTGCTGTGTTGCTTTAGTGAGGTTTAATTAGCAGCTGCATGAATCAATGTTTTTATAGGAACAGTGGGTCAAATCGATCATCATATTGAACGCACAGGCAGCTTCCTTTGGCTTGTTTGTGTGGTTTTACAGCCTGCAGCTTCCTGGTTAAAATGGTTCAAAACATAAAAATAGAATCAAGTTTGTATTTAGAATACCTTATTCAATTGATTTGTAGATACATTTAATGCTTTATTGATCCCCTAAGGTAAACTATATTCACAAATCACACACAAAAACACAGAAATTTTAAAAATATATACTCTATTTTTTTAAATTGTGAAAAGTAAAAGATTTTGAAGTGACTTTCTGTCACGTTCCTTAATACAACAGAGTTAAAAGAGCCTCCAAGTGTAATTTTTTTAATTAGTAGGTCATGCAGGAGGTGAAACATGTCTCTTATAATATTCAAAACAACTCCACACAGGGTCATACAGTGAATTCGTTCATGTGTATTTATAATATGCGGGGTTGGGGTGTGCCTGTATTGACAGCAACCGCAATATTTAAAAGGGAAATACTGATACCAGGTGATATAAATAATGCAACACTGGTAACTATCTGGTTGACGCTCCACCATGGAAACAACAAACACCACAGTTATGGTTACAGACGCTCTCCACCTGCCTGCACTTGTATTTTTAGTGTAATTTACTGGCCTGTGAAAGAGATAATAATAAAAGTTGAATTTTACTGATGGCATCATCTTTGTTTTCAGATTTTATACAGATAATATTATGGAGAATCCTTTTTGGTGTCGTTAGAATCTGTAGAAATCAGATTCAGTTTTCCTGTCTGTTTTCTCAGATTTTGCCGTAATTAAATGATTCTTAATTTTCTTCAGACAGACATTAGCATGATTAAGATCGCCTCGGTAAACCAGGAAAACAGAAATCGCTTCCACAGTGGGCAGATTCTATATTGACATGTGAAAAATGACTCTGAACGGAGTGAAATTCTATATATATTTTTTTTTTTTTTTTTTAACCTCATTTGGGATTTAGAAAATATTTGCAATGTAGTTTATCTGTAAGCTCAAAATACGGGAATAACGGACAGCATTAAACACTCTTACGACTTTTTATTAGAGCTTGACTGATGTATCGAATGGCCAATGTTATCTGCAGATATTGGCCCATCATGATATCATCAGCTCTGTCTGCAGCACATGTAACAGAGCACATGGTGGTACGGAGTCATAGCTGGAGAGTTCATAAACAATTTTTCTTTTTCACAATAACTCTATAAGATGCTGTATATTCTGCATATCTTCAAAAATATTGGCAGACGTATCAACATCAGTAGTGATATCGCCCTCAAAAATCTAAAATCACCTCCAGTTTTTGTCATTTTCTAGTCAAGATTTGCCAAATTATGAACCAACAGCAGCCGACATTTCATCAATATACTCAAAGTGTTCTCATGATAACAGATATTAGTTTATATAGTCTTCGTCCAGTGAGTCATGATCACCTGTGTGACAAGTTTCACCTGCTTTGGTGAAACTGCAGACGTAATACATCAGTCATTATGTAAACTGCAGTTTCTGTGATAAATTGGGCAATTTTGCAGCTCGCAACACAAAGCTGACAGTTCTGATGTCTGCAGGTGTTCAGTTACTGCATCCATCAGCTCTGTCCCGGTTTCATCAGCGCTGTAATCCCACAGAGGGTCTGATGGATAACCGGGATCTGATGTCACACACACACACAATGACACCTCTGTGCATCTTCGCTCGTCATTAGCTTCTACTTTCTTTTTCTTTCCTATTCTCTGGGTTTCTTTTTCTGTTTTCTTCTCTCACACGCTGACTGTCCCTTCAGGCCTTTCACTTCTTCTATAGAGGCTTTTTTTTTTAAGGAAGCACACACAAGTACTGCACCCAGTGTACCAACTTAATGCAAAGGGCCACATCCTCACACACACTCACAGTCGATGGCCGCCAGTAGAGCAACAATAGCAGCCGTTTATAACAATACAGTGCTGAGAGTCTCAGGTGTCTGGGTTAGTTTTCAGTGCAGCTGTCATTTATCTGGTGTTTGACAGTAGAATTAATTCACTACCTACAACAGGTGTTTTTTGTTTTGTTTTGTTTCCAACTGTATGTTCAATATTATCACTGAAGTTATATTACGAATGGAATTTTTTTGCTACTCACGATTTTTACTCACTGTAGGCTCTTTTTTTTTACTGCAATATAAAGTCCTGCATGTCCATGGAAACAGCACACACACAGCTAGAAGTAGAGAGAATAAAAAAATGTCTTGAAACAGCCCATGACACAGTTAAACTGCTATAAATCAGAGGAGAAGAAATGACAGTTGAATTTTTTTATTTATTTAACACTTTTTTTAAAAAGTGAATTCAACATGTGCAACTTTTTGCCAATGCTTGATAAAAGGTGGCTTTACTTGTGACTTATAATCTGGATTTTTAATATGGTTCCACGTTTGTCTTCAACATTTGCTTCATATCTGCTTTATGTAAACACAGCCTGCAGTTCAGCCAAAAACTCCCTGAATTTTAGTCGTGTTACTGTCGGTCACAACTGAGTCGCTAATGGCTTCGTAGTTGCACAAAGGAACACAGAATTTTTTGGTTTTTACAGATTCTGTTTAGTACAAACAATTTATTTTTGGGAAATATTTAAATTATTAAATTATTTTGTTGGAATACCACAATTACAAGCTTAGATTTGATGAGGTTTTCCACAGATGAGTAGTTCAAGGACCTTCAGAAAGTTGAAAATGTGTCCATTCTTTCTCGCTTCTGACTCTGCTAAATGTAGTTTTTGTTATTTTTTTTAAAGATGCCTTTTCAAACCAGCTCGTGGATTTTTGAGGTTCAGAACTTTACATTATGTCCACATATTTCCTCCAGCGTGTCCACTTCCTGCTCAGGTGGACTGTCGGTCCAGCGATGAAAACTGAAGGAGGAAATGATGTCAAAGCGAAGCGTGTTTATTTGAACGAAAGCAAACAGGGCGATTCCTTAATGAAATCCAGGGCGGGACTGTTTACCCGGCGCTCTGCTGCTGCTGCTGCTGAACACTGAGGGCTCTGTGCTGTGTACAGGCCGAGCGCTGGCACTGCAGGGTTTCCACGTACACAAACACTGGCACAGAAGCAGCTCTCATCTCCTGCACCTCAGGGAAATACGTTACCCTCTTCAGTTTAGCTCCACTTTCACCATCATGATGTTCCAGAGTGAGACAATCCTTAATCAGGCTTCAGATCTTTCCTACATGCACATTAACGAGGCCTGAAAGCGTCCCTGAAGTGAAGTTTTTTAAACTAATCTTGGACATGTTCTTGACTTGGCTTGGTTTTCGGTTTTGCATTTTGTGCATGTTTTCATGTTTCCCTCTGGAGGAATTGTAGCAACAACAACTTTTGGCTTGTGGCTCAGGTGGTGGAGCAGGTTGACCACTAATTGCAAGGTTCAATCCCGGGTCCCTCTACGCTGCATACTGTGTGAATGAGAAACGCAATATAAAGCACTCTGAGTACAACTTTGGGTATCTAAGTGCACACCATTTGCCATCACTTGAATTTTAAATCGTAAATACGTGTTAGAATTGTCTTTATGAGGATCTTAGCATGTAAATATTAGCATTTAGCCCAACGCACAGCTCTGCTTAAGACTCAATAATCTCCGTATCATCAATGGACAAGATTCACTGTCAGGTTTCAGTCTGTATTTCATTTGCAGTCCGAGTATTGACCAGTCAAGTTTGTGTGGTGTTGGTTGCAGGTGTGGAGAGCACCTGTTGGTAGAGATTAGTGACAAATTGGCAGTTAACAGCCAGTAGCTTACTAGATTGGGTAAACAGTGCCAGGTGCATGATAGAGAAAGTCTTGACCCGGATATCTATTATCTGATAGCTAGATATCAGTTGGTTACAGCAGAGACGTTGGCCAATAGACTCCAAGATTGAAGTTTCAAAGCTGCGGGTATGACTAGAGGCTCTAGAGCCAAACCGATCTCGGGGAGCTAGAAATCCTGATATCGAAGTATCAGCTGATATTGTTTCTTTACATGTGAGTTAGATTAATAAAGCGTAAAATGATGTGGTACCTCTGCAGCATAGCACTTGAAGACAAAGCTTGACTCCGCACCATACTCTGCTACATGTGCTGCAGACGGAGCTGAGACTAATCTAAACTGTACAGTCAGAGCCGCTGAGTTGGACAAACTATTTGAAGATTTCCAAAATACTTTTTATGCAGTTTGTTCTGTAAAAGAAAGTTTTCATGTGGCCACATATCAGACAATACACACACTGATATATCTGATATCGACTGATAAGATCAACCAATCAAGTCTTTCTAAAAGTTTCAGAACCTGAATGAACTCTTGACATGCTCAGGAAAAGAGTGTAATGACATGGTTTCAGGTGTTTGTTACACAGCGCTGAGTCATGTTTTAATGGCATTATCTCATCTTTAAGTGCCACTCAGCTCTACAGTTTCTGGATGATGCTGACTCCTGCCGAGAAACTTTATTTCTAGTCGATCCTCACGGCTTAAGTTTTCTGTCTTTGCCTACCAGGATCCGTCCTCAGCTGGCCAAAGAGAAGATCGAAGGCTGTCACATCTGCACCTACGTGATGCCCGGAGAGCCGCAGGTGGTTCTGGGTAAAGACAAAGCCTTCACCTATGACTTCGTCTTCGATATGGACACCCAGCAGGACGCCATCTACACCCACTGCACCGAGAGGCTCATCGAGGGCTGCTTCGAGGGCTACAACGCAACCATCTTCGCATACGGACAGGTCGGTCAGCAGGTTTTGGCATGTCCGTGCACGGTTTTAAAAATGCAGAATGGCGTTTTGTTTTTTTTTTCTCCTCGTTTGCACGGTACTGGATCAGCTCAGCGATAAGGGCATGAATACTCACATTCACTTACGTCTCGAGTTTTCATCGCTCAAGGGAACGGAGCTGTTTGTTAAACCCACAGATTTATGGCAGCATGTGATACGGAGCTGGTTTCATTTGATATCATTAGGCAAGTAATGAGGGAGGGAGCGGGCCTCGGAGCCTCGGTGCAGCTGACATGTATGAACCTGCTTTCACCACCGCAGCTTTATATTGCCTCTGATAGATTAGCCTGACTGGGAGGGATAGAAAAAAAAGTTTATTACTCAATGTAGGCAAAATGAGAACAGACTGCTTCACCTCATACCAGAGCAGCAAAGTAAACCTGAGGACAGAACATATTTGAGAGACTTTAAACATGTGCTACACAAACCTTCGCCCGGTTTGACATTTTGGGGAAATACCTCCGTTAGAGGAGATGATAGATGCTGTTTTCATGTCAGTGTAGGGAATTTAAAAAAAGCTATTGCAACAGTCCATTACATGAAGAGTGGAAACATAAAGACTGAACAGAAGTAGTCTTGCACATGNCAATATAAAGCACTCTGAGTACAACTTTGGGTATCTAAGTGCACACCATTTGCCATCACTTGAATTTTAAATCGTAAATACGTGTTAGAATTGTCTTTATGAGGATCTTAGCATGTAAATATTAGCATTTAGCCCAACGCACAGCTCTGCTTAAGACTCAATAATCTCCGTATCATCAATGGACAAGATTCACTGTCAGGTTTCAGTCTGTATTTCATTTGCAGTCCGAGTATTGACCAGTCAAGTTTGTGTGGTGTTGGTTGCAGGTGTGGAGAGCACCTGTTGGTAGAGATTAGTGACAAATTGGCAGTTAACAGCCAGTAGCTTACTGGATTGGGTAAACAGTGCCAGGTGCATGATAGAGAAAGTCTTGACCCGGATATCTATTATCTGATAGCTAGATATCAGTTGGTTACAGCAGAGACGTTGGCCAACAGACGCCAAGATTGACGTTTCAAAGCTGCGAGTATGACTAGAGGCTCTAGAGCCAAACCGATCTCGGGGAGCTAGAAATCCTGATATCGAAGTATCAGCTGATATTGTTTCTTTACATGTGAGTTAGATTAATAAAGCGTAAAATGATGTGGTACCTCTGCAGCATAGCACTTGAAGACAAAGCTTGACTCCGCACCATACTCTGCTACATGTGCTGCAGACGGAGCTGAGACTAATCTAAACTGTACAGTCAGAGCCGCTGAGTTGGACAAACTATTTGAAGATTTCCAAAATACTTTTTATGCAGTTTGTTCTGTAAAAGAAAGTTTTCATGTGGCCACATATCAGACAATACACACACTGATATATCTGATATCGACTGATAAGATCAACCAATCAAGTCTTTCTAAAAGTTTCAGAATCTGAATGAACTCTTGACATGCTCAGGAAAAGAGTGTAATGACATGGTTTCAGGTGTTTGTTACACAGCGCTGAGTCATGTTTTAATGGCATTATCTCATCTTTAAGTGCCACTCAGCTCTACAGTTTCTGGATGATGCTGACTCCTGCCGAGAAACTTTATTTCTAGTCGATCCTCACGGCTTAAGTTTTCTGTCTTTGCCTACCAGGATCCGTCCTCAGCTGGCCAAAGAGAAGATCGAAGGCTGTCACATCTGCACCTACGTGATGCCCGGAGAGCCGCAGGTGGTTCTGGGTAAAGACAAAGCCTTCACCTATGACTTCGTCTTCGATATGGACACCCAGCAGGACGCCATCTACACCCACTGCACCGAGAGGCTCATCGAGGGCTGCTTCGAGGGCTACAACGCAACCATCTTCGCATACGGACAGGTCGGTCAGCAGGTTTTGGCATGTCCGTGCACGGTTTTAAAAATGCAGAATGGCGTTTTGTTTTTTTTTTCTCCTCGTTTGCACGGTACTGGATCAGCTCAGCGATAAGGGCATGAATACTCACATTCACTTACGTCTCGAGTTTTCATCGCTCAAGGGAACGGAGCTGTTTGTTAAACCCACAGATTTATGGCAGCATGTGATACGGAGCTGGTTTCATTTGATATCATTAGGCAAGTAATGAGGGAGGGAGCGGGCCTCGGAGCCTCGGTGCAGCTGACATGTATGAACCTGCTTTCACCACCGCAGCTTTATATTGCCTCTGATAGATTAGCCTGACTGGGAGGGATAGAAAAAAAAGTTTATTACTCAATGTAGGCAAAATGAGAACAGACTGCTTCACCTCATACCAGAGCAGCAAAGTAAACCTGAGGACAGAACATATTTGAGAGACTTTAAACATGTGCTACACAAACCTTCGCCCGGTTTGACATTTTGGGGAAATACCTCCGTTAGAGGAGATGATAGATGCTGTTTTCATGTCAGTGTAGGGAATTTAAAAAAAGCTATTGCAACAGTCCATTACATGAAGAGTGGAAACATAAAGACTGAACAGAAGTAGTCTTGCACATGAGCCCTATAACACAGAAAAAAATTGTCACCTTTCAACAAGTTTTGGTATAGATTAAGACTTTGGGAGCTTCAGAACATTTTTACTCACTGTAGGCTCATTTTTCACTGCAATATAAAGTCCTGCACCTCTATGGACACAGGATGACCACGGCTCGAAGTAGAGAGAACTCAAATATGTCTTGTATGCGGTATGACAACGTTGCAATACGATAAATTGTAAAAAACAAAAAACAAAAACTAAACTAAAGTAAAATAAACTAAAAAAAAAATGGAAGAAATGAAAGTTGAATTTCTTCCATTTTTTAAAGTTTTTTATTTAAGTTGCAATACAGTAAATTGTAAAATAAAAAAATTAAAAAATAAAATAAAATAAAACGGAGGAAATGAAAGTTAAACTTCTTTGATTATTCATTATATAACAAATAAAAAAAATAAATCAACATGTGTAATGTTCCCACGGGTGTTACCAACGCTTAGCAAAAGAATGGTCCACATGCTGTAGATATTTTATGATTTACATTTTTAAGTTGTTTTCATATCTGCTCAGTGTGTGCACAGCCTGCAGTTCAGCCGAGTTCAGCTAAAAAGTCTCTGAATTTTTATGTCATGGCTGTTGGTCACAACTGAGTCACGAATGGCTTCCTGATTATAATGGGGACTGCAGAATTTTTTCGTTTTTGCAGAATCCGGTTAGAGCAAACAGGTTAATTTTGGCAGATTTTTAAATGAAATGCTTCAAATAAAGTGATTTTAAGAGAAAAATGATGATTAAAGATGACTTTAAGCTTAGATTTGAATATGTTTTCTGTATGTGAGTCATTCATGAACTGTCTGAAAGTTTAAATCTGTTCATTCTTTCTATCGAGCAGTTTCTGGCTCTGATAAACTGTCATTTTGGCACCATTCTGCCTTTCAAAGCTACTAGCTCTGCACGTTTTTTTTTCTTGTATGCAAATTCAAACTAAAACTTTGCATAAAAATAATGTAGGTCAACGTAAACGTGCAATCTGAGACGCTCTGTAGCCGTGGTACTGCCGCTACACTTCCCTCTTCGTGGCCTTCCCCCTCGCTCCTCGTCTTTCTGTCCATTATTCTCTCCTCACATTGTTCCTGTGGCTCTTGTGTTCACGTCAAAGAGCCTTTCACAGCCGAGGCCTCACACACACACAGAAAGAAGCAAGTGCACAAACACAGCGATCGCACAGGTGTGGTCTCAGCGGAAAACACAAGCGAACACACACACTGTCTTCCTCGTACACACTCCCTCATCTGTAACACACACACACACACACACACACACACACACACACAAACATTTTGGTGGGAGGAGGCTGTTGAATTCAAAACCAATGATGCATTCCTCTTTTCGTCACCATGGCGACCATCCCATCCCCTCTGACCCCCTAACTACAGCACTCCCCCCGCTACTCTTTCACCCCTTTGAATCCCGGAAACTTGAGCAAGTCATTGGAAAAGTTTTGGTCAATTTTGGTGGCGTTTGAATTCAATCCGGGTTCAGAAAAACAACATAAACTCATGAAACATTGGTCTGAAAGCATCTCGAGGATTTCTGCTCAAGCATCTCTGATTTTTGTGAAATTTTTATAGCATTAAAAACAGATATTTATAAAGATATGGGTCAAATTTTAGCTTGATATATCAATTACTTTCCTTAGAGAAGCCTATAAACCCACTTTTAGCAAGCTTTTTTTTACACATGGGGATTTGAGGCTGTTTGAGCAACAATATCTCAGGAATTAATAAAAATAAAAGCCTGAAAATGTCACCGTTATTTCTCATTAGACGTATATTCAAAGTCATGTTCGGAGAACCATTTTAAAACTATCTAGCAGTCTCTCTAAATGGTTGTTGTAGTGTTAGAATTTGTCATATTTGCTCAATCAATTACAGAAATACAACAAAAATAATTTTTTAATTTTTTAAATTTTACTGATCAAGTATTTCATATAAAAAAGTATTTTATGTGTTTTGTTTTGTCATATTGTGAAATGCAACCGCGCATGGTTCAGAACATATCATTAGTCTGTGCTCAAAGATGGGACCTTATCGTGACGGCTTAGTTTTTTTGTTTTTTCTTTAATTTCCTTTCCAATAATCAGAGATTATTTGATCAATTTGTCCAATATTGCAGATTTAGAATCAATGGCATGATGAGAAATAACTGTGAAAATTTCAGGCTGTTGTCTTTAATTGTTCCTGAGATATTGTCATTGAAACAAAAAAAACGTGCTCCAAGTAGGTAGATGGGCAGTTCAATCATATACATAGTGTTTGCTGTATCACATGCCGCGTTAAATATCCATAACTTATGATAAAAATAGTTTCAAGCAAAGGCTCCCTGATGATTAGAGATGGACTAACCCACATGTTTAGTAACGCTCCTCCGTCTTCTCTCCTGCGTCTAGACGGGTTCAGGGAAAACCTACACGATGGGAACCGGCTTCGACGTCAACATCGGGGAGGACGAGCTGGGCATCATTCCCCGCGCCGTCAACCACCTGTTCAGAGGGATCGAGGAGCGCCGACAGGCTGCCACCGAGCAGGGGAGGCCCGTTCCCGAGTTCAAGATCAATGCACAGTTCCTGGAGGTACCACAAAAACCCCTCAAAAAACCAAGAATTTAAACCCACAAACGTCAAATTTAGATGCATTTTCAGGACCCAGTCTGAAGAGTCTGGTTAGGGTTCATTAGCTAGACATGTAGGAGGTCAAAGGTCGACAGAGAGAGCTCAGGTTAAGCGTCCAGATGACCCAACTGCCATTAAACTGTCATTAGAGCGACTCTGAGGTCAGCTTCTGGCTTTATTTTTAACTGCCAACAAGTGGCTGCCAGCAGCTGGTGAGGAAGCAGCTGAAGGGACGAGACCAAGCCGGGAAACGCAAACGACACCTCAGATGATAAACTAATCACTCACGTGTTTCGTCTGTTTTCCAGCTGTACAACGAAGAGGTGCTGGACTTGTTCGACTCCACTCGAGACCTGGAGGCCCGGAGGCAGAAATCCAACATCAAAATCCACGAAGATGCCAACGGAGGAATCTACACCGTCGGAGTGACCACCCGCACCGTCACCTCTGCTGCCGAGGTCAGAGTCGACATCCAAAGGCGTTCTCAAGGCAGCGTTCTGTAGATTTGACCATCGTTTTAGCTGCATTTACTCATCAGTGGTTCTGACCAAAGCAAATTCTTTCACCAGTGCAGCACATTTCCCGACACTGAGCAGAGGGCTGCTACCTCTAGTCGTATATTTTGTGGAGGGATGCAGGTGATACGTATGTGCATCATTCGGGTTTGTAGGTTTTCTTGAGCCGGCTAACTTAGAGAAGTCTGGCTTTGTTGAGCCTGCTTTAGAGAACACTTCTCTGGAGCTTGAGTTTTGTGTTTCCTGACACATTTCCACTATAAATTAATGCAGAAAAGGGCACAAAAATGGACTGTCATACTGTGATCATACCAGAATGCAGGACATAAAAACTCCCAGCATAATGTGTTGTTATAATATTCAAATGAAACCTTCTCACAGGTTTTTTGCATTAAGCTCATTGACTGCAACTGTGAGCCCTGGTGACAGCTTCCTCTGCTCTGTTTGACCATCACTAAACCTATGACTGTATTTTTCCTAGTTCATGAACAGTATTGCTTTTAATCATCCTATTATAAAAATACCTGCCTCCCACTGAAGAAATAAGCTGCATGTTGTTCCAGTTATTCTCTGCTCCGTGTTCACAGAACGTCAGTTGACGGAACTTTCCTCGACATAATTCCTCCGTTCAGAAAACCCGCCAGCGTCATAAACACAAACATCACTTCCTCCATATCATACCATTGCCATGGTAACATAAACACCTCTGATACCTGTTGTTGCTGCGTTGAAGGTTTACCACTCCAAAAGAAAAAACATGTCACAATTAAAACAACACACGGTGAACCAAGGTGCCTTCCAACAGAGAAATAAGACTGAATGAGT